TTAGTTGTCAAAAATCGACGTCATGAATCGACGTAAACGACAAAGTGCCCTTTACAAAAATATATAATTTGTGCAGATTGCGCTCCATAGCATCTACATTTCTAATCCGATTTTAATTATCTTTGGCTCAAAATTTACTATAGTGATATATCATCTTTATCGAATTTTTAAAATAATTCAAAAAAAAAAATTTCAAATAAAACTGCGTATTTGATTGAAAATCTCACTTTTTTCGACTTCGACGACAAAATGCAAATGGTAATGATAATTTTCATTGTAGTCGCCACAAGTTATATATTTTGGTAAGAGGCACATCAATACCCTTCGAGCTGTAAGTCGCTTACGTTGATGGGGAGATTTTTTCATGATTTATTGAAGAAAAGCTACGAAAAGTACCAAAAATCACTTTTTTGAAAAAATCCATCCATTGTCCGATAATTTTAAAATAACGTGTAAAATGCGGGACAAATGCAGGACACTTGGGAAAAATCAGTACATTTTCAAGTTTTTCAGATTTGAAAAACTACGCAGGACCGACTTTTGATAAACAGTACAGTCCTGCAAAAAACAGAACGGATGGTCACCGTAACCATACCACGTATTCTACGTTTAAATTTAGCGGCTGTGTCTCCGATACAGCCTGCAGACCAAGACGAAGGTGCTGGACTGTTCCTTTTGTTTTGGTTGTTTCGATTTGCAAGCTTATTTTGCATTTTTGGTAAAAAACGGTTGTATACAAATTTGTAGAGAATTTAATTTGCCGCACTTTTTATATACAAAGCTTAAAAAAAATTTTTAGTAAATAATTATCAAAGCGTGCGATAAATTTTTTGCATTGTCACGGTTTTTGCCATTTTTCAACAATTTCTACGGTTAGTTTAGATACCATATTTGAGACGCCATATTGAATTTTTCAAAGGCCTCACGGCTTTTTCCCCAAAAAACCTCAGTAACTTTAAAATATGGGGAGGTTTCAAAATACTGTAGTTATTTTTGACATCGGGGGACAAAACTCCATCAAGTGCCATTAAAATATATTAAATTTCCCACTTATTTATAGGCAAAATATTGACCGCTTTGTGAAAAATTCCATGAGTTTTCCGAACTTTAGAACCTTTGAGGCACATGTTTCCGTTATCCGATTTAAAAAAAAAATCGTAGGTCACATTTTTATGACCAAATGAACCTTTTTGCTTTGTAGGGCAAAGTTGCAAAATAAGGCGCAGGCTACTGCACATGCATGATGATATTCATTGAATTATTTGCAAAATCATAACTAAATAGGGGAGCGAAGGATGTTATAATAGACCACATAAGGAAAAATTTCTGTAGAAAAATCGGAAATCTGAATTTTTGCTCATTTTTTAATGGATAACACAGCCCAATAAAAATATACATAAACAAATTTTGGTACGGCAAATGTTAAAATTGTTTTTGATAGATTTTTTTTGTGCTGATTACGAATTCGTAAGCATAAAGTTTCCATCAGCTCCAGATTTGGAAAAAATGAAACGAGTTCAAAGTGTAAAAAAATCGCGGTTTTTGCAATATTTTAGAAGCTCTACCAAGGAAACTAAATGTGATAGAACCTTCCTGGCTTAAATTAAACCTAGATCTCTCGACTACTATATCTGTAAAGAGATCTAAAATTTTTGAAAATAAAACATTAGGTGTTTTGAACAACCGATCAGATATTAAAAATTCTTGCGAGAGGCCAGTAAAATAGAGCAATTTTTTTTTTTATTTGATTGAGTGTATGTATTTAAAAAATGTATGTATGTGTTTGAGTCTTCACGAATTTTTTTGCGATAAGCGGGGACAGTTTTCCAATTAACTAGGACTAACATTTTCCCACCTTTACCTATGCCAGCTGCAACAAATTCATTTAACCTGTATCAGCAGCAACCTACTTCAGGCCTTTATTACCATAATCTGCTTAAAAACTCATGTAACGCCACTTTGTAGCTGACTAGATGGGCGATCTAAATAATTCAATTAACACTTTAGCCTCAAACTGCTACCGCCACGCCGAATAAAGCTCTAACAAGCGGCACATAGCTCACTTCTGCCGCACTCCTGCAGTCTCACGAGATTTTCGTGTGTTTTACACAATTTTCCTTTGGATTCCATGGCAGGTGTTAAATCGTACAATGCGGCATTTGGCTTAAAGTTGAACACTTACACAAGGTTTCCCGCTAAATTTTAATGTTTTAGATACATATTATGTATGTGTTAGTGTATGAAAGTGTTCATATATGCAAATTTCGAGTGCCGAATAAGGCACGGTTTGCCGCACTTCGCTTACTCTTTGTTGAAATATTTTTTTGCAGCAACTTTTTTGACACCCAAAGAATGGCACACAAAGTAGACATCTTAGAAACCGAACAGCTGCAGATGCTGCGCATTTGTAATTACAAAATTTCGTGAATTTGGCATTGGCGTAAAACGTAATTTTTGGCACTGGTCCAATACGTGTTGGCAGCAAAATTGGTAAAATTTTTATTAAAATATTTAAAAGCGAGTTTTAAGCCACTTAAGTTATTAGTTAGGCTGGCAAATGCTGAAGAACGAAAAATGTGTACATGCATACATACATATGTACATACACACATATAAAACAGACTAATAAGCGCAAGGGAAGTGTGCACTCAAGTTTGCAATCGGTACTAAAATAATAATACTAATGGTTGAAATGTCGGCGACACACACACACACACACACCTTCAATGTAAACGAGCCCTACTAGCAACGGTTGCTGCACATCTCCCAAGTGCGCCGTAAATATTCCGTTTTGCGTCATCGCACTGCCAGACGACATAGCCGTCTATACGACGACCCCTTTCGTCCCGGCTTTCTTGCCGCCTGCACAAAGGCAAGATCCTGCCACATGGCTTTATGCGCCGAGCTCGCACAGGTGGTCAGTTTGTCACACACATAACGGCTACTGTGACCAGATTTCTCTTGCCGAAAATCGAGACATTTCTAATTCATCGAATCCGAACATACAATTTTGTTTTTAGAGTAAAGACATATTTTTATACAGTTTCATTTAGAACAAAACAAAGAGAAAAAAATGTAAAAATTATCGCAAAAATCTATACACACAATTAGGGGATTCACAAGACGTGTTAACCGTCGTAAAATCTTAAGGTTAACATCTTTTTTAATTAAAATGGTTTTAGGGGATTTCTAACTAAACCGAAATTCTTTTAAACTGATAAAGAATATATAATTAGCCAACCCCCCAACCATTTTAACCGCTATTTTACATAAACAAGTGTTAAGCTTAAGATTTTACGACGGTTAACACGTCTTGTGAATCCCCTAAATATACAATCAAAATTTATTTAACGTTTCAATCAGATTTTCTAGAATTGTCTTGAGTATACATTTTTGTAACCCACTAAATTTTAGTACAATAAAGGGCAAGTTTGAAGTAGTACCCTTGATTTTTTGCATTTTTTTTTTTACAGAGAAAATGAGCAACACCTTCCAGAAGAAAAAAATACCAAAAATCAACTGTACTCATAATGTTTCTAAGAAATCTAATTTAAAAACTCAAAATATTGATGATTCTTTGTCGAATTTTGTTAATTTTTGTACAAAGTTTGAGACACCAACCAACAACACGCTTTTATTACAATAAGAACTAAAAAGAACAAAATTATTTATTGATTTAAAGATTCGTTAAATAAGGATATGAAGTTCCCTAATTTGATGTTGAACGTGGTCATAGTCGAATTAAAGGTTAGTTGTAGTTATTTTTTACAGGCATCTCATTGGAAACATACAGCACCCCATTGGTGGAGGGCTTCGGGTGTACGAATTTGTTGTAACGTCAGGAGTTGAAGACTTGCTCTAGCTGCTAGTCTCTTAAAATTTCCTCGAATCCCGTCGCGGCAGATTCCCCATTGAACTTGCAACAAAGTTCAATTCTGCCGTTTCCTTGAAGGGATTTTCATGATTTCAGACCCTTTAGGAAAGTTAATATGATTTATTCATAGTGTTTTTGTTTTTTTACATTACAATTAAAGCCCATAATAAGACGGAAGAAATACATTTTTTTTTTTTATTAAGTTTCTTTAAAAGGTTTCCAAGATACAGCACTTTAAAGAAATGTATGTATGACGTTTTCTTAAAATTTAAATCTCGTGTAAATGGGCAACCCTACGTCATATCGGAAAATTATGCTGCACGTATATTCATGTCACCCAGACCTTAAATCTCTTCAACAGAGGTGGCCGCGGTGACATGAAATGCCTCCTATGACGACGTCTTAACCGACTTCGATTAGCACTTTAGTATTATCGATTTTGGGCATTAAATGAAGAAACATTTTTAATTTTTTGAGTCCTTAGATGCATCTGACCCTTGACCCCTTTGCGACACGCCTCAATCGACTCCGATCGGGACCAAAATGTATGTACATACATATATGACATATAGACTGAAAAAAATCGTTCATTTGATTTTTTAAGGACCACCCTAATGCTCATATTCTCTGAATAATTTTGTTAAACAGCCTGAACTCAATGGTCCCTTGGGATTTGTGGTAATTTTGTCGATAACTTTTTTTTTGGTTTTTTTCTTTTTTCAAAAGGTTTGTAGTTCTTTTGGGAATTTCTTAGAATTGTTACGCCACTTTTCAGTTTTTTCGTATGTTTCAAGACTTATCAGGATTTGCGACATCTATCGAGATTTTTCGAATAGTTTTCAGAAATTTTCGGGGGATTGATTTCGCCATCCTTCTGCATTTATTCGTATCATTCGAATATTTGCAGAAATTTTTGGAATTTTATTGCAGTTTCTTGGGTTTTTCGTTACCTTTTTCGGGAAAATTGATAACTTCTCAGAATTCTTCGAGACTTTTCGAGCCTTCTTGTAATAACAAGCTAATTTTAAATTGAGGAAAACGATTTAGGTTACTCAATTTCATCCTTAGAATTTTTAAAATCATACCGGCTTTTTTAGTTGAAACTGAATGCCAAGCAAATCAACTAAATTAAGGTATCTTTCAAAAATCCAAACAATCTCCAAATAAGTGAAACATGAATTTTAAGCCTTAAATAAATTTGTATATTTTATACATTAAAAATAATTAAAAAAAAAAAAAAACTTAGCATATCAGAAGCATTCATTGGGCTTTCTCTTCCGCACCAACCGCTATATGCAGTCCAGTGCTCAGTTGTTGGCTAATATGGCCTACGCAATCTTTTCGATGCACCTGTTGCGTACTCAAGTTAGAACTCTGCTTGCCACTGTGCTCTTCCACATTACTCGTACCTACATTTCCTCTGTTCTCTTCTTTAAGCAATTTATTTAGCTGTTCTTCAATTTCACGCCACGCAAAGTCTATATCGTCTTCCTTCGGATCCACGCCACACACCGCAAAGCGAATAAAATTCTTGCCGCCAAATGCCGCCTGTACCATATAGATTTTCTTGCGTTCTGTCACACATTGCAGTAGATCTGTGGTCAACTGATTGTCACCCTTCACTCGAAAGCAGACCAAACCCATTGATCGTTTAGCCACCAACTCCAGGCGTGCGTCCGACAAGATATGTCGTTCAAAACGCTCTGCTAAGCGTATTTGTTTGCGCACATGCTCGCGCAAGCCTTCGGCACCGTAGATGCGAAATGTGACCCACACTTTTAGCGCGCGAAAGCGACGACCCAGCGGTATTTGCCAGTGTCGGAACTCCGGTATATCTGTCTGTCCGTTGTACTTGTTTTGCAGGTAAATACGATTCACATTAAAGCTGTCCACAACCTGATTTGCGTCGCGCAGCCACATTGCCGTGCAATCGAAATTCACCAGCAGTGTTTTGTGCAGATTATAGTTGAGTGAATCCACGCGCTCAAGCCCGCATCGCAGATACGCATACTCATCCAGCGACAAAACAGCGCCCGCATAAGCAGCATCGACGTGTAGCCAGATGTTGTGCTCCTCGCAAACAGACGCCAGTGTCGCGATATCATCGTAAGCGCAGGTGCCCGTCGCCCCCATCGTTGCAATGCAGATAGTGGGTATAAGCCCTTTAGCCAGGTCTTCTTTCACTGCTTTTACCAACTGCGCGCCGCCCATAATTTGATTATCATCGGCTGGCAACAGCCGTATGGGCAGAGTGGCTAGCACGCCGGCCTTCTCAATACAGCTATTGCTCTGATCGCTTGAATAGCCGATGAGGCGAGCCCGTATCTCAACTTCACTCAAATCTGGTTGTTTGGCTTTCACGCGACGTACGGTTTGCTCGCGTGCCGCCATGACGGCGACAAGCACAGCCTCACTTGCAGATCCCTGTATAATGCCGCCACCAGGCCCTTTGGTAGAGTGTAGAAAGTGTTCGGGTAGTTTGAGAAATTTCGCCAACCAGTCCATGACGATCACCTCCAGTTCCGTACAAGCTGGACTACAGAGCTTTAAAATAAAGTTTGGTAAGGAATCGTTTGCATATTTTGGTTTTACGCAGTTAGACTTACCCAATTAAAACCGATTACGCTAAAGCCAGTAGCCAGCATATCGCCCACAATCGATGGATAGGAGCAGCCAGTTGGGTAGAATGCATGGAAGTTCGGCGACTGCCAGTGTGTTATGCCGGGTTTAATGAATTTATTGATATCTTGCATCACCTCTCGCCATTGTTCTGGTTTTTCTGGTATCTCTTTTGGTAGCACGTCGAACAAGTAGCCTGGAGCGACTGATGGTAGAACATCACTGTGGGTGGAAAAAATATTGGGAATATTTATTTACTTTTTTTTTTGTGTGTATCAGTGATAAGCATACGTAAATACTTTTGTATTTAAAGTACTAGTTTGGGTACTAAAAAAAAACTTGGGTATTTAGGAGCTGTTAGATACTTAACAACAGATATGAAAGTATTAACAGGCGCTAAATACCCTGGTCCATAGTACTCAGATACTTCGAAGATGCAAAATACTTTCCCTAAAGTACGGCAGTATTTAGTCGATGGCTAAATACTTTCAAACTGAAACTTTTATGATTCAGGAGAAATTTACAAAATTAACACTTTACCATACACTTATCTCAACTAACCTTACCACAGCTAAGTTCGCCGCATCTCAAATCAACTCATTGCACGCAAACTTATCACACCTCACTTAAACTCACCTCACCTCATCCTACCACACTCAAATTCACCAAACCTTGACTCATCTCACCATACCTCAATTTGGGAACTACTTCTAGATTCCCGTGACTATTTAATGGTTTTCGGACCTATTTCGAAATTTTTGTTGTACTTACCGATTTTGATATCGATAGATTTATAGACTATTTAATTGATACATATATTTTGGTATATTTAGGGATATTTTTCATCGATATTTGCATCGCTGTATTTATCAAAATATTTATTGATATATCAATATTTGTATCGATACTTTAATCGGCATTTTTTTGATATATTTATCGACATACTTATGGATATTTATCGATATATTTAGTCTAGAAAAACTCGAAAGAACCTTCAAAATCTCGAGGTGGCCTCGAAAATCTCGAAATAGTACCGAGAACCCAAAAATTCTAGAGACCTCGAAGTAATCCTGAAAATCCCGAAATAGTCCCTATCATCTCGAAATCTTGAAATAGTTTCTAAAATCCCGAAGTGGTTCCGAAAACTCCGAAGAGGTCTCGTAAATCGCAAAATTTGCCCGACAGCTCTTAAAAACACGAAGCAGTCTTGGGAATCCCGAAATAAAGACAAAGTCTCTAAACACTTTTGTACGCGGTGTTTCGTTAGGTCAAACTAACTAAGTACTTTTAGACTAAGTGTTTAGCGCTGTGAAAATAAGTTAATACTAGCATATTCGCTATTTAGTAACATCCGAAATTCCAAAGTAAATATGTATATTGACTCCTACTTCAAAAAATAGTTTGCTGCTTCTTTTTCCTTACCAATCGCGAATATTTTCCATGTAATCGGCTATAAAGTCCACAGCAGCTTTGCCGAACTCTCTAAAGGTTTGCGCATCCATATTCAATGGTCGGCTAATCCCGAATTCATAGGAATGTTTGTATGCGTGGTTCTGAATAGGCGAACAAATGGAAAAGAACAGTTGTTTAAAGTTTGATAGTTTTAGTTTTGGGTCTAAGTATCTTTTTGGGATATATATATTTTTTCAGTTCCGATTTTAGTATCACGGTTTCACAATGGAAATATTACCGAACATTTATTTCACAATTCAAATAACTAGTCGAATATTGGTAGTTAATAGCATTGGGTTTTTAGTCATCCGTGTATACATATATACATATATTTTTATATACTGAGGTATGTATACTTATATTTTGGTTAGCTTCAGTTTCCCTCTATGAGAGTGCGACCTTTCTTTAACCACTATCACTTTTTCTAGATATTTTGAATGAAACTGTTTGCTAATTAAAAATACGTAACTTTTTAGCACTGCTTTTAATTATTTTTAAACTATTTAGGGCATGGAACTGTAAACATAATTGGCGTTGTTTCCAGTTTTAGTTTCTGATATTTTCAAATTCAACGTATTTTTTTCACTTAATCAACTACCTAGTGCTTCACGTATTCGATACTTTTTAATAAGAAAATTTCGAGGCGAATATTTGACATGAGCCCAATCCCAAGCAGTGGCGCGACGTTAACTAACACTAAGCGCGGAAGCTAAATGTGACTGTCTTTTATACCTTTTTTGCTATGCTGTGAGTGTGCAAAGGCATCAATAAAATTTCACTAACAGTGATGATGAAGAAAATGAATACAGACCTATGGTTTTTGTAGTTGCACAACATTTTGTACATAAATTCGTTTTTATGCTCCTTTTATCGTCGTTTTGCATAGCGTTGTCGATATCGTAGTTGTTATCGTAGTTGTTATCGGGAAAACAATCGATATCAGATTTGATATTCCATATATCTACCGGTAATATTAGGATATTCTCGTAATTGCCTTCGATATATCTATCAAAATTATTCTTTTCATCTCGTTGTTGTAGTCACAGTTATAGGCTCGTAAGCGTAATCTTCGATTTCATTGTATTCGTGATTACATTGTACTAGCTCTTGTATTCCTTTGGGAGCTCACAACAACAGTACTTATTGACTAAAATCACTTTTACTTGTATTGTAAAATTACAGGTACAACAGTGCCAATGTCAGATGAAATGTCAGTCAATAAAAAATGGTACCTTAATGCTGGCTTTCAGGCCCACAGATCAAATATTAGATACGCTTTGAATTTGGTTGCAATTGTGAAAGGTTAAATAAACATATTTTAGATTGAAAATTTGTTTTTTTTTTCTATTTTGTTGGCAATTGTTTTGCAATTCATAGTGGCTTTGGTCCCGAAAATAGTTACATCGAGATGAATCGCATTGAAAAAAAAAATAATAATGTAAAACAAAGGTAACCAAATGCATAGACTTTCATGGAGAGTACAGTAGCTCTTTTTGTGAATGTGTAAAATTTTCATTTAATATTCCTCGACATTTTGTTCTACGGAGTTCAATAAGACAGTTTATTTTGCTTGGTTCGTTTTAGTTTAGCTACCACTGTTTTCCCTTTCTGCTTACTTAGGATAATGTTATGATGTTATATAACCGCAGTGATGCTACAAAATCAGCAAAAATTGTCTACCAGTGTACCCTGTAGGAATGGTAAACATATTTTGCGTACGTTAAAGAAAATGAGTTTTAAGCCAGGGTGTGTGTCAAAGCAACTTACAAAATACCTTCCTTTTAAGTGTTCTTTGGACGGCAGATAACTTTTATAACCAAACTTTACGCAATTACGCTCGGATCCAAGAATTGTGCACTGGATGTACACAGCTATTAGTCCGACCCATAATCTCTTACGTAATTAAAAAAATAAGCGGAATTCAAAGGTCAGCAGCCGCTGGCGTAACAGGTGCCATGAGATACTATGCGGAGGACGTATTGAACATCCATCTTGACTTATTACCCATAGATATCTTTATCGAAAATTCAGCTGCTAACAGCGGAAAGACCGTTCGGGCACGGTTCCATCCTAGACGCAATACCGTCTGAAATTAAAGCGCTGCCCACTGACTATATCCTGTCGAAGGCTTGGGTTCACCATAAACCCTACTCGCAAAGTCCCAAGCCGCAGGGACTGGAATCAGGAGAATTTCGGGTTCTTGCTGGCCTTAACTGTCTTTACGGATGGGTCAAAGATGGAATGCGGAGTTGGTGCAGGGGTTTTCATTGAGCAATATAACCCACAGTTATCCTTCCGCCAGCCAGAGTATGTATGCGTTTTTTAAGCCGAAACGTTTTTTTACAAATAAGGCAGTAATGCGTTATTCAATAATTAAAGGTTCCACTCTCTTAGCGGTGGCACCTTGTTGCTTCTTTGCAAATTGAAAGAGTGTTGCTTATGTGTGAAATAGAAGTATACGATTTTGTTCAATAAGTTTATTTGTATATGAATATAAATTGTTTTTAAATTCGATGTTTACATAAAACTCATAGTAGTTTTATTTTAGTTTTAAGCCTATTTGAGTTTTTATACTGCTAAATAGCACATACATAAATTACGTAATTCATGTAGATATATTAATATTTCGTTCTATATTTCGTTTAAGATGTCCAATTTGCTGCAAATACATTAGAATTTACAAAAGGAATTTCACTACTAATTGCCTACTTTGCATACTTTCTACTACCATTTTCGCACCAAGGGATTTTATTTTTCCCCTTTCGATTATCCTAAGGGAGTGTGAAACCGCAGCTGTCAATATTTATCTAATCTTTAATTATTGAATCATGGATAGCCAAGCGGCTATTCAGACACGTTCTACTATATTTCTTATCAATACGAAATTACCCTAATATGGGTTCCGGGACATAGGGGCATCTACGGGAACGAAACAGCGGACAAACTAACAAGGACCAGCTCCGCACTGAATGTGTCGCACGCGGTGGACATAAGTGCCTCACTCAGGGAGTGAAATGAAATTTATCATGCGAAGGCCAAGCAGAGGTGGAACTGCACAGGATCTTACAGGAGTACCCGGCAGTTCTGGGTGTTCTACGACGCACTTAAAGCCTAAACTCTCTTAAGAATGTGCAAAAAAGATGCCTACAAACTTAAATACTGACTTTCCTGTTGGGCATACTTGCCAAATCACATATGTACACATGTATGTACATTAGGGTGGTCTAAAAACAGTAAAGTCGGAATTGTAATGCTCTCACCGCCTAGGATGGTTCTATATCGAAAAAAACTATACCCCTATTTTATATATTGCAATCAAAAAATATTTAGAGGTCGCTCAAAGCGCTCAAAGTTTTCCATATATTTTTATATGGATAAAAATCAACGTTTCGTAGAAATGGTATATAATTCTTGAAAATCAATATTTTAGTTCTCTTCAGCAGGCTTTCAATAATATTACCCAATTATTTGTTTAAAAAATTTTTAATACTAACGATTTATTATTGGTCCCCCCCCCCCCCCATTGCATTTTTCGGGGTTTTTGTGCGTTTTTGGCGGACCTATAAATTATAGTTGGGATGAAAAACTGGTTAAATAAACAATTGAGTACTATTATAGGGTATCTCCGATAAAAAAATATTGATTTTTAAGGATTCTATACCACTTCTATGAAAAGTTGTTTTTACCCCATATAAAATACATGTATAACTTTGGGTGCTTTGAGCGATCACTAAATATTTTTTGACTTCAAAATAAAAAATAGGACTCTATTTTTTCGGTATAGAACAATCCTAGGGGGTGAGAGCATAAACATTCAGACATTACTTTTTTTTACATACATTTTTGGACCACCCTAATGTACATACATACATACCTAAGCATAGTTGTGAAGGTATTTGAGCTTGTCAACTGTTGGCTTCGATTGTCTGCAGTCATTTCTTTTTTTGCGCGCTAATTTTATCACAAAATAACTTCGTCTTTCTTTTCTACTCTGCTCACAACTAAGTAATGAATTATGTCTTTGACTAAAGGTGTTAAATTTGTACATATGCAAACAGCCAGAGCATATTATGTCTTGACCACAAAGAAATTATTTATCGCCATCAATCCGCTGTGCGCTTTAGCTACGTGTTTTTCAATATCACGGAACCAGTTTTTCAACATTGAGAAAGATAAATACAACAGACTAGGGCACTTGCAGACAGACGCTACACGCCAGCATCTCCCGGTGAAAGTGTTGACAATAAAATTAAAACAAGTAATTTTTAAGCAAAAAACAAAACTGGCTTCAATCCTCATTTAAAAATGTAATAATACCGTTAATTTCTTCATGACCCAATGATCGGATATAAACTAAATTAGTATGGGAGCCCCCTTAAGGCAACACTTTTGCGATAGAAAAGTTATCCAAAATAGTTGACGTGGTTCAAAGTTATGCGGTAGCATACTTAAAAAAAAAATATAATATAATATTCCGACGAATGGATAACCTCCTCCTTTTTTTGAAGTCGGTTAATAACAGAAAAAAATTGATGAGATGTCAAACTAAAAGAAGACACAGCGAAATATAAAAAATAATGCAAAGAAATCTTTTCATTTCTTTTTTATTTTTTTGCCATTGTATATATTTAAATTGTCTACGAATCTGTGCAAACATTTAACAAGTGGTTAATTAAGTAAATATGCATAGAGCACAATTTTTATATTATTAGAGACGCGTGCGCGCTAGACGACCTACATGCATACATACATATGTACATTAGACTGCACCACTCCCCATAGAAAAAAAAAAGATCGGTACTCTACATTGGAATTATAAAATCTATTATATTTTAAGACTTGCACCAAAATATTTCGGACAAAAAATTAAGATTAACGTGAGCTGAACCGATTTGAAAATACCTCCAAAAATTTAATGTTTAGTTTATAAAAGTAGCTTTTTTAAAGAAGACAAAACAATTTAAGCTTAAAAAAATGTGCATAAAAATTATTTTAAAAAAAATTCTACGTAATCAAAATAATGAGATTTTTGATGCTGTTTTCGAACTTTTTTCAAAGTTTGGTTTAAAAAAAAACTTGAATAACTCAGCCAAAACTTTACCGAATTAGACTTGAAATTTATCATCGGAAAGGTATTTTCTGAAACCGCAACTTTTCTTGGTGATGCAGTCTAATGTACATACATATGTAAGCTTATTAGTTCGATAGAAAAAAACTCTGCTTTCAAAATATTGATAATTTGGTTTTCACCAGTTCTAACCGGAATTTGGCTCTATGAATTTTTATTTCTGCTTTCTCAAGCCCCACAATTAGTAGCAGACGAGCTAAGTTCGTACCAAAACCATTAATAATTTGAATTTATAAAACGCCTAACGCCTAGCTATAGCCTATCATTGTGTTAGTTTGGACAAAAGTAATATATTTTGTCGTATTGGATTTTCGTTGTTGAACTGAAATTTAATCAGAAATATTTCATATTGGGTTTTTTTTTTTTTTTTTTTTTTTAAATAAAATTTATTAAAAAATTTTTTTTTTTTTTTTTTTTTTTTTTTTTTTTTTTTTGAATAACATTTAGTCCACCATACTAACGAATAATTTTTTTCTTATAAGCCACCATTTTAGCCTTTTCCGGTCAAATCCGTCCCTGACCAATATACAAGTTTTTTTCTCTTAAATAAAAGGTTCATATCAAATCTTAAAAAATTGT